GTCTATTTTGCTGAATTATCAATTTCGGTTTTGATTTTGCAAAATTAAGAAATGGTTCAAAATGGCTCATTTTACTGTATTACTTACTGCTTTATGGGTTTATTTTTCTGAACCACTGCCTGATGTCTTTATTTTGTTAAACCACCACTGAAATGAGAATTTCATTGAAACAACGCATATAAAAAATCAGGCAAGATATTTCTGAATATTAAATTGCCTGAGGATATAGATAAAATTTAAACAAAGGTAGTGGATTGAACTCTCCTCCTGATTTTTTGAAATTTAAGATTTATTTTTCCAAAAAATTTTTTTTTTTTTTATATTTTGTATGTTGTCTGTTTCTCAGTTCAACCCTGACCATTTAAAACCATTTTAGGTTTTCCTATATATATATTCCGTTATATATATATATATAGGTAAAAGGAAGGTGATAAGTTATTAGTTTGGGTTTGTTTTATATGAAAATATTTTTTAAGAATGACATATTTTTTCATTCATTTACTCCTTGTGGATGCACTAACCTGTTGAAGGGTAATCAAAATCCCCGATCTGGCCAAAGCCCGAAAATGAGATACAGATTTTCCAAATCTCTACCAGATGCACCCTGGTCTTTGTGTATATATATATATATATATAATCATATAGATATATATAATACATGTGCTAATGTAAATATTCGGTATTTATTCATCCAACAAAAAAACCTTTCCTGAGGAATTTTAGCTTGTAAATGATCCAATCAAATCAATTACATTCACTTAAAAAAAAAATACTAAGAACATGTAATTTTTTTCGAAAATAAACGATAAATAGAATGAAAGACCAGAGTCCAAAGAAAAAACCTCCAACTGATAAAGAAATTAAATAACCAGCTACCAAAGTGCTCAATTTGCATAGAGCCAGTTATTTATTTTAGATACATGATCGTCTAAAATGAAACCTAGGTAGGTTTGACTGTCTCTTTAGGTTTAAATGTATATATATATATTATGGTTCGATAAGAAAAAATATTAAATATATTTTTTTTTTTTTGAAAAAGAAGACAAACAGATAATATAAATATATATATATATAATGAAAAAGGAAAACATCTTTTCTTATGAATTTCAAATGAATGTTTAAATGAATAATCCAAATGAAAGGATTATGATTATGTTAAATGAATTTATATAAAATGTTAAATGAATGTTGGTTTTTCTTTTTTTTAATTTAAATAAATGTTGAATGATATTTTAAAAAGAATTTTATATGAATGTCAAATGAATGTTAAATGAATGTAATAAATGAATGTTAAATGAATGTTAAATGTTTTTGATTTTGTTTTCTTTTTTTTATTACAAATTAATATTTAAATTATTTTTGTTTGGGATTAAAATTTGATATTTTACATTAAATAAGATTTTGGTTATGTATTTGCTAAGTCCCCATATATACAATTTCCAGATTTTTTTAAAAAATATTAACTAAATTTTTAGGCTATATATTGGATTTGACAAAAAAAATTTAAAAATTGCCATAAAATAAAATTAGAATTATCATAAAACTAAATTAAAATAATATTCTATAAACGTAAATTAAATTAGACACAAAATGTCCGACTGACACCAATTTAGGGAAAAGTTTTGATCCTTTCTTCTCCAACCCAGATATCTAGCCACACAAAAAATGAGCTGTTCTAAAACAATCTGTCTGTAAAGACTATATATATATATATATATATGATGAACTGTTACATTGAAACATGCAAGTTAACCATTTTTGGTTCTCACCAGTCAAGATGCATGTGTATCAAAGCAAGAATGCATCTTTGTAGTGAGTAAGTTCTTTTGTCCATATTTAAAATTTCTTTTTATATCATATAATCTAAAAAGAAAGAACAGTAAGATATAAAATCAAGGAGTTTACTGCTTATGAGAAAAATTTTTAAAAAAAGAGAATAATCAAAATAAATTTATTAAGATTAAAAAGATAATAATTAACACTGATTTCAAATTTTTTTTTTTCAAAATTTAAACCATGTTTTTTAAAACATTTTGAAACATGGTTGGAACTGTGTATCAAAAAAAAAAATATTTTTTAAATCAATTAATTTATAATATATATCTGTTATAATTTTTACAAAAACAAGCAAAGAAGATATGTTCTTTCTATTTAATAATAGATTCTGACTTTTAAATGGTTGAAAGACAAGACAAACCCAAAAGTCTATTTTTAATTCTGACCTTGTGTTCCCTTTCCATTCATCTTTCAAAATAAAATGTAACAATTTGCTTTTGAAATTATTTCTTAAAAAAATCATTTAATCACCAGTTACCATAGCCTGAAGATTGCAAAAAATTCTTGTTAGCATGAAGAGCTAAATGGTGTTGTAGAAGATTTCAACAATTTTTGTCATTTCTTGTATTAAAATAATATATATATATATATATATATATATATATATATATATATATATATACACACACACACGTAAATGAACTTCCCTATTTTTTTTGTGCCGGCATTGCAATTGGGTTCAATATAACATATATTCACTACTTGAAATCTTTGAAACAAATTTTAAATGAAAATTTCATTTATAAATTGGCTTGTTATAGTTAAGGAAAGTTTTACAAATAGATGCCAACTTGTTGAAGACCAAGTAAAATGCAAATGTCAAACACTTTTCTGCATTACATGAGACAATATTCCTAAACAGAACTTTTTGGATAAGTGAAAAAAAACTTTACTGGTCACACCAGAAAGAGAAAAGGCTGGTGGTTTCAAATCAATAGGACTAGCATTGCACCAGATCCAGCCTGAACTAACTAGGACAAGCCAAGACCATATGTATGAACCAAATTGGACAAACCTATATGGAATTTTGACCAGCGGCCTGAGTAAAAACACTTGGGTCCCCACATTAAAAAACTGACCTTGTGTCACAACCTGACAATGTAAACAGAGTTGAATTAAATACAAATTACTATCTTTTAGTTTGTAACATAACGTTATCATCTCTCAGTTGCTCTGTCTTTTGGCAAAGTGTGTTTCAGGGCCTACTCTGTCAAAGGACAGAGTCGCAACTGAGGAAAATTATACTGAGAGGTGCCCAGCCCTGGGGAACAGCTGCCCAAGGCCGTGCCTCTCATTGCACCAGAGAGAGGGATTGGTGCTTGCACTGAGGCCAGCACAACCAACAGGTTGCGGGGGCTGGGGTTTTTGTTCCTAGCCCGGGTGTACGTGCTCAAGTCCCCCACATTAAAAACCTTTGTGTCACAACCTCGACTTCGTGGGGACACAAAACAAATTAATACCAAATTACTATAAAGTAGAGCTGGGGCTTTTTAATCTCAGAATTTGTGGGAGAATTGAGCTCCAATTTCGCATTTATTCATATAGATTCCATAATATAGGTTTTACTTAATTAGCTATTATGTTTCTCTAACTCTTCAAATGTTGAATGTATAACTAATTCTAATTTCTATTTTCCCATCTTTACACTATATTAATTTTATCTTATAAATTGTCCCCTGTTCTGTCACCCATGAAATAAAAATAATTGTTTGTACGGAAAATAAGGATCTACGTACATCAAATCATCTTTAAATTAAGTGGCAGCAGAAGAATTATCGTTGAACTTTTAAAAGGTAAGCTTAAACATTAATTCAATACTTAAATGCAGCGATCAATTTTGAGTTCTTCTGTAGTTTATTGATGCCTATTGCATCTACTCCTCCCTAGCTATTGTGATGATGGCCAAACCAAGAGTCCTCCAATCTAGAAATGCCACCTTATAAGCTAGTTTTAAAATAAAAATTTTTTGGATACAAAAGGAAAATAAGAGTTACTTCCCTTTAAACCATGAAAGCAACGATAATGGCTAGTATAATATATTAATATATATTTTTAACCTTGCGTAATCTGGCAACCCTGAATCTGAGCTTAACAAAAATCTTTCCCTGCGCCTAACTTTTCTAGGGCTTTTGAATGAGCTATGAATCATTGAAATCAGATCAGTGGCAGCGGAGGAGTTGCTTGGGCCCACACACACACACACATACACTGTACTTTATATATAAATGATATATATTATATATTAATTTTTATGTAATTTTTTTCTTTTTATTTTAAATCCTTTCTCTGTGTATGCTTGGATGCTCTTCATTTTGGGAGCTTTTGAATACTTATTCAAATTAGTTGGCATCGGGTCTTCATAATGGCTCACCTAGATTTTAACTATTTTCTTGATACTATGAGAGATGGCCTGCAAAATCAATTTTTCTGACAAGGCCCATCAAATGATCGAAATTGTTGTCCCACTATTTTTATATTTGATCCATGGTGTCCTCTTACCGTAAATACTTCTTAACAGATGAGGAACTTTCCTTTTGTTCTTTCATTTACTATTTCAATGCCTCTTTCTTCCTGTAGGAGTTTGAAAAAGCTGAAGGCCGACGACCCAGGATTTTGGTGGCTAAAGTTGGACAGGATGGACATGACAGAGGTGGTAAAGTTATTGCGACAGGATTTGCTGATATGGGTTTTGACGTAGATGTTGGCCCGCTCTTTTCTGTAAGTTTTCGTCTTTATTTATCTCTTCTTTCTTCTGGCTCACATACGAGTTAAGCAATGTTGAACCTTGTCAGGAAATGGAAAAAAGAAACCGCTCTCTCTTTCCATTCACCTTTTCTCTCTTTCCCTCTCTTTCTCCCTTCCCATGATTGCATGTTTATTTATATTTCAGCATTCTTTAAACAAACAATATTTTTATTTCAACTTTCTTCAAATAGACAATTTTTTTTAATGTTGAAAGTTTCTTCAATATTTTATAATAAAACATTCAAAACATACTATATATATATATATATATATATATATATATATATATATATATATATATATATATATTTAAAAAATATGATTTTTTTATACAGTAAGTATTTTTTTTTTCAACTTCCTTCAAAAGTTTTTTTTTTTTTAATGTTGAAAGCAACGTTTAATAACTGCAAATAAATGTATTTTTAAAATATCTCTACTTTTACAAACTCTTCATGAAACTAAATGTAAACAGAAATACAATAAGGTTTACCCAAATTATCACAGGTGGTCTAATGTAAAAATAAAAATTGTTAATAATTAAAAGCTCCCCCCGTCTTGACAAATCATTAAGCAGGAAATGTGCTGTTAATGAGAAAATAAAATGATTTTTATATATATATATATATATATATATGTGTGTGTGCCCCTTAAGCAACTGTGTTCCTAATCAAACCAAACTCATAAGTAAATACATCGGTCACACTATTGTATGCCTATCCAGATGTCTTACATTACATCTATCTGACCACAGCTCCATTAGAATTCATTTAAACACATTCGAAAACATACCAGACTCTGTCCGAATCATACTAGTTCAAAGTACAAGCATAATGATCTCATCCACAAGTAAGAAAAAGATAAAAATAATATAAATAAGTCCTAATAATAAAAAAAGTAAAGGCCAACACTCAGTAACATTAACTATGAACACGGCCACAATGTGCTGACCATGTTTGAAAAATAAAACATCCCCTATAACTATTGATACATACATAACACAAACCATACAAGTTAAAAGTAAAAACAAAACGATCCTTTTGGACAGTTTTTACACACTTTGTGTCCAGAAAACAAAACAAGAAAATGAAATAAAATGTTTAATCTCAGTACTTTGTCACTCGTCCTTAACAAAACATGTATAAGATAGGGATTGCTACCTAAATACACATATATGAAATTGGATGGTAAATCTTCTTAATCTAAGATGGGATTAAAAAGATTCTGATGTTTGGTCAGGATTTGGTAAGAATTAATCAGAATCCCCTCAAATTTTTATAAATAAATATTATCTATATTCTGTATATTTTTCATATATTTTTTTTCCAAAATCCTCAATCAACAAGTATATTCTGATGCATTTGTCCATGTTGTTGGTGTCAGCTCTCTGGCTGCTGGACACAAGACTCTTGTTCCGGAACTGATAAAAGAGCTGAAAAATTTTGGGCAGACCGTTAAAATTATGGCCGAAAATTTGTTTTTTTCTATCTTTTTAGTTTGTGTTTTTGAGTTCTCTACATACTTTAAGATAAATGTTCTATTTTATATGTTAATTATGAGATTTTCCATTAGATTATTTTATTATTCGGACTCTTTTCTTTGTCGCCATATTTATCATGAACGATATTTTTTCAAATAAAATCAGTTTTTTCCTTCTTCAGGTGGTTGGAATGTCAATGAACCCTTTATTTCGCTTCGTTTATATATATAATTATTTATTTTAAATGATATTAAAACAAAAACATTGAAAATTCAATACAAAAATTTACAATCAAATATAATCATGATAATCTTGTAACAATTTTTTAATTTTTTTGTTTTAATATCCTAAAATAATTGATATTTAGTTCTAAACTTATATTGAGCCCTTTTTTAAATTAAAACTTTGTGTACAGTTTGTTATACTCTATTTGTTCTCATTTTACCTGGAAAATATATATATATATATATATATATATATATATATATATATATATATATATATATATATAAATATGAGAGAGCTCATCTGGCTATTGTGGTTTTTAACTTCTTTCAGTGATATCATTGTAAATTATTGGTTGAGTAATTCTTCCTCTAGGATTATGATTTTCTTACTGAAGCAGGATGTGCTGCCATTTTTGGTCCAGGTAAGAATAGTAATTTCCAAATTTCTTCTTTTTAATGGTCTGCTTTAGTTATTGCTCTTTTTTCCAACGGAAAAAGGAATCTTTGCAACTGCAAGAAAGAAAGACTGAAATTTTGGTGCTACTGTATCATGATATCTACCATCTATTTTCTAAATGTGGTATGATATCTACTGTGGTATGATATCTACTATGGATGATTTTATATCTATTTGGTATGATATTTACCAACTGTTAGAATTATGAAATATATCTAGGGTTTTTTTCTTAAAGGCATGAATAGTGAATTGGTTATGTAAAAAAAAAATTCATTAACAAATTTTTTATACAAAAAAAAAAGAAAAATCATCAAATTAAGATTACAACATGGTGCAAAAATAATGACGTAATAATGTCGTTTTTTTATGTAAATTTTAACGTCAAAAAAACGACATTATTACATCATTATTTTTGCACCAACCTAATATTAATGTTTGTAAACTGATTTAATTTAATTAAAAAACAAAAAACCAGTAAACAGGTCATCATTATTCCTGACCATTATCCAGCAATAATGAGGGCAAAGGTCACAAACGCCCTTCTTAGATGCCATAGTGGCACTGAAATTTCTTTTGCTTTCCATTTTCGCTGTTTTTATTTCTCATTCTTCAGATTGGTCACATTTTGAAATTTTTTGAAGTTTGAAGGCAGTCCCATTAGATCATATTTGGAAATGTCCAGAAAAACTGTTTGCCATAATCCCTTCTGTTGCAACCTTGATATTTGGCCATGTACATCAGCTTTACCTCCACTCATAACAGGTGTTCAAAAATAAGCAAAACTGCATAGTTTTTTTTTTTTTTTTTTTTTTTAAGTTTTTGCTTCAATTTTTTATGGTGTTCTGTCCTGGGTAAGACGATCCAAACTACATCCGGTTTATAAACGTAATAATGAACAAACTAAATGTCCAACAGCAAGGCCTTTGATCAGGAGGTTTTGATGAGCGATAAACCACCTCTTAATTGATGATGTTTCAGGTCCACCCTGACCTGGGGTGGAAGCACCTGTTTTTTTCCAAGCTATGGGCAAATAGTTGACACCCAAACTTGTGTAAAAATAGGTTTTAATACCAAAATACATTGTAATAAAAATATTACCAGCAATAATTTTTGAAGGAAAAATTATTATCAGCAATACTTTTAAAAAAAAAAAAAAAAAAATACTTGCATTACAAACAATTATAAATTCTTTTGAAAAAAAAATATAACCAGCTATAGATTTCTTCAAGGAAAAAAATTCCCAGAAATAGATTTTTGAAGAAAAACATATTACCAGCAATAAAAATTTTGTCGGCATTGAATGACTCATTGAGGTTGATATGCCGTAAAATAAACCAAACCTAATAAAAAAATAAGCTAAATACATTGTTACTTGCTGGGGAAAAAGATTGTTGGAAAGTTGTCACATTTGGTGTCATTAGTATGCCATAGGAGATACGTGGGTCCCTAAGTTTTTATAATTTTCTCGTATTATCCCTTTTCTTGTTTTTTTTTTTTTTTTTCGCTTTTTTCTAACCCCCAAAAATTATTCTACAACAAAACTGAAGGATTTCACATGTAACCATTTTTTTTTTTTTTTTTTTTTTTGATGTCTCTTATGAGGGTGTGTTGAAAAGTTCATAGGTTGACCAAGATATTCTCATGGAATGTAACCAAATAAGGTTTATTTTTCAACATAGACCCCCCCCCAACCCCCACCCCTTCCTTCACCTAGTGGTTCATACACTTCTTCCATTGGTGTTGCACAGCTTGGATCCCATTGTTGAAGTAGCTTTCATCCTGTTGGCCAAAAGAAGTTTTTAAAAAAAACAAAAAAAAAACAATGCCGTTATTAATAAGAGTTGAAATGAATGCATGCAAGATTTCACAGCTCTGGCATCACGCCTTACTAATCAGCCTATAAACTTTTCAGCCCATCCTTGTAGTTCGTCTGGGCACTTTCCGTGGAAATACCATTAGGGCAGTGAAAACCTTGCGGCGTTTCATCTGTGAGGAAAGAGTTTTGCAGTGTGGAAAATAATTCATCACCCACAGGGATGCGTGCACACTTTTAAACTCTGTCAAGACTGGAAAGTGAAGAATGAGCTGCTCCTGCCCATATATAGCAACATTACTCCATATGATATACATATATGTCAGTCTGAAACTGTTCCCAGAATTGATTAAACCACTGAAAAGAATCTACCTCATCCATATGTAACCTATTTTTACACTTTCATAGTTTGGCTTGTTTTACAGCATATCAACCACAATGGGTTATTTAATGGCAACAAGATTTTTATTGCTGGTAATTTTTTTTTCCAAAAGTGTATTGCTGATAATAATTTTTTCCTTTAAAAATTCAATGCTAGTAATATTTTTACAAAAATGTATTTGGGATATTAAAACCTATTTTTAAACTTTCATAGTGTTCTGATCCCATTTTGCATGTTAACTATTTACCCATAGTTGGGGCCCTAACTGGTGCTACCACCCCGGCTGACCTGGAAACACCAGTAATTAAGAGGTGGTTCCATGCTCCTCAAAACCTTCTGATCAGAGACCTTGCTGTTTATTGTCTTACCCAGGATGCGGATGTAGTTTATCGTCATACCCAGAACGGCAGGCCCATTTGTGTGTCTTTAATGCGCATAGAGCCAACGTCTGGTTTCATGCATGTTTTCCCACATATTTTGTTTTTTTCACAATAAATTTTTTTTATGTTATAAAACGATTATTTTTTTCCCTTTTCTATACATTGTTTCTTTTTTTCCCTTTTCTATACATTGTTTCTTTTTTCCCTTTTCTATACATTGTTTCTTTTTTTTCCTTTTCTATACATTGTTTCTTTTTTTTTCCCTTTTCTATACATTGTTTCTTTTTTTTCCCTTTTCTATTTTTTTTTTTTTTCTATTTTCTGTTTTTTTTTTTTTTCCCTTTTCTATACATTGTTTCTTTTTTTTTCCCTTTTCTATACATTGTTTCTTTTTTTTTCCATTTTCTATACATTGTTTCTTTTTTTTTCCATTTTCTATACATTGTTTCTTTTTTTTTCTTCCCTTTTCTATACATTGTTTCTTTTTTTTTCTTCCCTTTTCTATAAATTGTTTCTTTTTTTTTCTTCCCTTTTCTATAAATTGTTTCTTTTTTTTTTTTTTTCCCCACAGGAAACTTTTATTCCCTTGTTGCTTTTCAGAGTGCTGGAATGCATTGAATCTGAGCTTCCCTTTTTTTTTTTTTTTTTTCAAACTGCCTGAAGTCAGGAGGAAGACCAAATAAACTTCTGATGTTAAAATTTTTATTTTGGTGATGCTCTCTGTAACCTTTGCCCCTAAACTTAATTCTGTGCATTTAACATTTCAGGCATGAACTGGCCAGGGGAGGAGACTCTTTTTTTTCTCCCTTTTCTTTTATGTTTATCTCAGGCACAAAAAATTTTTCCTTCATGAGTACTAACTCAGGATAGACGCTGCTAGCTGACCTTTATAAAGTTAGGTTGATTGATTTTACAAAATGTCAACCTTTGGGTTATTTAATATCAAATTCTGAGTGAGGCACACAGTGAGGATCAAACTCCCTTTGTATTGTTAAGTTGGTTGATTTTACATATCAACTCTTGTTTGATGTCAAAATTTGACATTAAATACACCAACAAGGGTTGGCATGCTGTAAAATCAAACAACCAAATTACTGCTGCATGGTGAGTTTGATTCTCACTATGTGCCACATCTGCAATTTGATATTAAATTGGAATTTTCTAATGTAATTTTTCCCCTATTCTAAAATGATTATTGCTACTGTGTAGTGAATTTGATCCTCACTAGGTGGTCCATGCAGAATTCAAGATTAACACTAGGATGGCCATCTCCTTTGGCATCTTTATTTACGTTACACCTTTTTTTTTTGCATCTTTAATATATTCAATATTCAAGTCAGGAATAACAAGTCTGAAAAGAAATTCACAAATATTAGTATATACCTCATACTGAAAGAAAGTGATTATTATATATATATATATATATATATATATATAGAGAAAGAAATAGAATAAATTCCTGATAGATAGATAGGACATAAACACAAGTATTATTGCTTGAGAAAATTTTTCAATGCATTTATCCTATAAATAGCCTAGGTGTCAAAACGACACCTTAATTTCAAGGTAAAACCTCAAATATCAGCTATTCCACTGAATATTTTTTAAAGAATTAAGTCTGTTAAGCATCTTTGCTAAAATTCAATAATTGTCCATAAGCCTCAGCATCGAACCAAAACTAGTTATTCCATAGTAATTTGTTGAAAATTTGAAGGTGTCGGAAATGACACACCTCACCATCCTAGTGTTAAAAATTTTTCAACAGTGGTTGACATGTCAAAAATTAGTTAAAAAGAAACAATCAGTATGGGGCAAATGGTTTATTTATTGGTCTGCTTGAAATTACAACTGAAAGGGGAGTTTGATTTCACTGGGTGACCCATATAAAATTAAATTTTTGTGTTTAAATAACCTAACAAGGGTGGACATGTTTTTAAAATCAGATTATAAACAATCAGCATGGTGTAATGGTTAATCAAAACTAGTTTAGTTGACTATTACTACTTATTGTCTTGAAATTTTTTCTCACTGGGTTAACTTATGAAAATTTAAAAATTTGATACCCAATGAGGGTTGACATGTTGTAAAATCAGCCAACCTAACATGAATGTTAACAGTTCTAGGATAGAAGTAAAGGTGGGCTTTGAACTGGTAATGGGACGATTAAATTCAGCATCTATTAAATTCCAGTCTCTTCATGCCTAAAATGTATTAAGTCTAAATAGCTGTATTAAAATTAAATATATTAAATCTTGCTGCAACTTTAGAATAAAGAACAGAATTAGAATTTTTCTCTGTGTGTGCGTGTGTATATTTTCTTTAATGTTGATGAGATTATGAACATTTTAATGGAATAGACTTTTTAGATTCTCATAGAAAATGGAACGAAAAACAGAAAAAAACAGTTTCTAGCATGTTTAACCAACAATAAATGGAAGGTGAATTTTTTATTTGTTTTCATATCATAGTGAACTTTTACAAGAGTGTTGCTGATGAGTTCTCAGTCTGACTAACTTTGCAAAATGAGATATTTCAATGATCCGACATCAGAATACTGATTTTTGTGGGTAGATTAGGCTGACAAATTTTCAGCACCCATTTCATCAAGTATAAAAAAAAAAGAGAGAGATAAAAAATACGAGAAGTGTCAAGTGTAAAAAAAAGGAGAAAACACATGGAAAGTGTCAATTGTAATAAAAAAAATAAATAAAATAAATACAGAAAGTGTCAATTGTAAAAAAAAAAGAAAAACAAAAGTGTTAAGCAATGTCTAAAACCAAGAAAAAAAAAAAAAGTGTCCAGTGTGTCCAAAACCCAGAAAAAATACAGAAAGTTGAAAAAAAAAAAAAAAAAAAAAACCAGAAAAAAATATATCTAAAAAAAAATAATTCCTAAAGATTTTTTTTTTTTTTAAAAAAAAGAAAAAGAAATGGAAATTGTAAAAAAAAAACATGGAGAAAAATGTGGAAAATACAGAAAGTGTTAAGTGTAAAAATAGGAAAAAAAAAAAAAAAGAAAAAAAAAGCAAGTGACTAATAAATAATGAAAATCTAGAGAGAGTTTTTTATTGTGGTCTTTTTGGAGCTGGGTCTTTTCCCAAACAATAATGGTCTAATATCATTTATGTAAAGGATATAAAAATTTAAACAGGTAGGATTGAAAAGTTCTCAGCTCAACTAAGGAACTTTTTCCCAAACATTCTGAGATTTGGTCATGTGGTCAGATTTTGGAAAACGGGCTTCATTGATAACTTTTCAGCACCCGCTCGTATGTCCATTGTTATATATCTGTTGTTATAAGAAATCTTTATGAAAAAAAAAAAAAATATTTGCTTGAAATTATCTTTTTTTTTTTTTTTTTTTTTTTCAAATTTAGTTCAAATAATGTCCATGACTAAATGATTTTGATAACATTTAACCAACTGATGTTGTTCTCCATTCCATAATAAATGAGGTCTTTGCGTGTATGCATATTTATATAGCTACTTTCATGTCCTGCATCTCTTCGACTCATGGGTAATCATGGCTCTCCACAGCATCATGTACTTTGTAGCTCTAAGGAATATTTCTCACCTTAATATCACTTCTATTCCCTATGCTACCATCCATTTATACAAGCTCATTAGGTATTTGAGATTATATGACAAAGACAACTTCCTACCTTTTGTAGCTCTTAGCAATGTTTGTCTTTTCATTATCTCTTCCATTCCCTGTTTTGCCATCCATTTACACAAGGCCGTTAAGTAGGTTGATCACGGCTCTCCACAACTTCCTATCCTTTGTAGCTCTTAGCAATGTTTGTCCCCTTATTATCATTCCCATTCTATGTTTTACACAAGCTCGTTAGATAGATTACTCACTTCTTTCCTGTATCCCTTTTGCTTTCATTATATCCTGTGAGTGTCAAATTCTCCAAGCCTTCTTTTCTCATTGTTCTATAATGTTATGTCTTCTGTGCCTGTTCTGTCTATGAGATCTGGCTGGATCATTTGACCATTGCAAACTGGATATGTAGTCTTGACAACCAATCAGAGGGGACTTCACTGCACATGCATGAGCAGACACTCTCTCTCGGGGATTACACAGCGTTAATTGGCTGAGATTATGTACTGTGCGTGACTGCCAAATGACGAAGCAAATAGATTTATTATTTACATCAAGACTAATATCCTCATGTTTGTTGTTGCTATTGCAATGTTTCGGCCGTTGAGCTGGCTGGTCTTCGTCAGGAGCTTGTAAATACAGATAACACTCAGAGAATGACTAGCTGAATTCTAATCTACTAAGCTAGATTGTCCTTATTGCACACAGCTCTTCATTTCAACCGTCTCTTTCTTATTCCAAGTATACTTTCTGTCCATGAGATTCTCATTATCCTTCTGTAGGATCACAACTCTCTTATTTTCAGAACCTGGGTGATCATGATGCTCCACAGCTTCTTTCATACCTCTTAGTAATGTTTCTCCATTTATTAGCCTGCTCAATTATTGTTCTACCATCCGTTTGCACAAGCTCGTTCAGTAGGTTTTTTGATTTTTCTTTTTTTTTTACTATTATTAGTAGAAAAAAAACAAGTTATTCAAAGTTTTTTTGTAATTTTACCTTCACTCTATTTGCCTCTAATATATAACTTCCAGATTCATAATGCCTAATGTTTACAATGAATTTTAAAAAATGAAAAATCTTTCTTGAAGCTTTTAGTTTTACTTTCAAACTAATAGCTCGAGTTTAATATTTGCAATAAGTAAAATATTTTGCAGTATTTTAAAAACTAATTTAAATTGACTGGAAGGAGTTGTTTTGTTTTTTTATTTACATTAAATAATGTTATCCTCATTACCATATTCACAACTTTTCAACCGTTGTATGCTCCGGCCTTCTTCAGGTGATTGGAAATTTGAACCGAACCCTTTATTTCCTCCTCTGGGGTAGATTGTTCTAGTTCCACGTGCCAAAATCTTCCTTATTTCTTTTTAACTCAACTCTCCAAGTTTTTCGTTCACCACTGCTGTGGCCTGGTATTGAACTCACAACTCTGGGTCTAGTCACTGGTTCTAACCAAGGTCTTTATCCACTGGGCCATGCGTCCTTGCAGACATATGTGGATGATGTTCTGGGACTTATAAACTTGATGTTTTAGCAACCGTTTTTATCAGTGCACATATTGAAATTTTTTGTTATTATTATTACATTTTTTTTACCCGAGCTTATATTACAATTGATCCCAGTTTGCGGTATTCTGACCATGAGACCCGGGTTCGAATCTCACCATGATCGATTTATCAGGAATGAAACTTCCTGATTTTATCAAACTAGATCAAATTTATCCCAGTGTGCGGTATTCTGACCTTCAGACCCGGGTTCGAATCTCACCATGATCGATTTGTCAAGGAGACTTCCTGATGTTATTGGAATGGAGGGGTCGGTCCCAGCTTGCACGACCTTTGGAAAGTGCCAGGGGTATGACCCAAGCCTTGTGAATAAAACTGGGTAGACGGAACCCTTGGGTGCCGTCGGTAGCTGTGCTAGCACAAATTCACAAGTCATTAATGAGATCTCATTATTACTGGCCTTGTTCAAATTGTTGATCACGCTAGATAACACACTCTTTCCCAGAAATTGTAACTAAGCTCTGCTCCACATAGTTACAGCGTAAACCACAGGTGGGCTCTGTGGGTGCTGAA